CCCAAACCCAAACCCAAACCCAAACCCAAACCCAAACCCAAACCCAAACCCAAACCCAAACCCAAACCCAAACCCAAACCCAAACCCAAACCCAAACCCAAACCCAACCCCAACCCAAACCCAAACCCAAACCCAAACCCAAACCCAAACCCAAACCCAAACCCAAACCCAAACCCAAACCCAAACCCAAACCCAAACCCAAACCCAAACCCAAACCCAAACCCAAACCCAAACCCAAACCCAAACCCAAACCCAAACCCAAACCCAAACCCAAACCCAAACCCAAACCCAAACCCAAACCCAAACCCAAACCCACGACTAAGGTCAGACCCAACATTTTGACTTTTATTCATCTTAATTAATTATCTCAATAAATACTCATTATAAATCAATATATTATATATCAATATACTCCAAATTGAATATATAATCATAATATAACATAATATTACATCGTTATAATGACTTATTTAAGTTAATTTCATATAATAGATTAGACAATTTTAATATCAATGAAAACATTTCAAAATCAATTCAAATCAATATATCACATTATAAATCATGTTTATAACAATACATATCAATTTCAAATACTTTGGTATCATTTCAGGATATTTACTATTCAACTTGTCAACGGACCCATTCTAACATTGAAGATAGAAATCTGTTCCACTTCAATTCACTTCCAATACATCTGTACATGATAATTAAATATATTAATATCATTTTGACATTCATCCATATCATACATGGTACATGGCTGATCCACTTGATACCTACAGGGTTGTGACAATGACATCTACTATACAGATCATCATGAAATTGATACAGCACCTTACCAATGATGAATAAACACCACTGTATCAGTTTCATGACAATTTGAAATCATTCAACATGTCAGGAGTGTAATCATGAGAATAATGAATGTCAAGATAATGAAATCATATTAATTTTAAAATCTTTCAATTATAATATCATTTATAGATCAATTAATCATGGTATTTCAATAATTGGTATTGAATTTCATATCAATTCATTCAAACCTTAATGACCTAACCTTAGATGACCAAGTCAAT